AAGGACTTATACACAGAGAGAAAAGACCACAAGAGTTTGCACTGAGGAAAATTTTGCCAGCCTAGGAAGATCATCCGCAATGCCAAATTTTCAGCACCTTAACCTTGAATTCTATCTACAAGGGCTATTAGAAAATGTAGTGTGATCACTTAAGCCACCTAGTCTCTGGCATGTCTGGACCATGGTCCTTGTGAAGCAATAACCCATCTGTTACACATAATATAATTGCAGCATTAGTTGTTTGGTTTCAGTCTCATTCACTTTATTGGAGTCCTACGAGGACAGACAATGAATTTGTCTTATGTAGTTTCACAATCCCAGAGCAGTGCCTGACAATGAGTACAAGCTCTGTAATCACTTTCTAGGTGATAAGTAGCTGACTCCTCAACACCCTGCTCCAGGTCACCACTGCTTCCTGTGTAGTTTCAGAATGTTCTTCCTTATGGTTTCCCATCCTTCTCATGGGACTTAAATTCATACACCTTTTATACAGCACCTTTTATGAGTTAAATGACATTATTCTGTCCCCAAATAAGCCTTTCTATCATCGCCTCCCTGCACTTAAGACTAATATCCACTCATGACAATGCCTGAGGCCCTGAGTGATGAGGTCCCAGGTCACCTGTCCAAGGTTCACCTGGGACATAGTTGTGATCCATCTTCCGGGACACGCCATCGGCATGAGGCTGTTTCCCAAGACAGGGCTTCTGCGCTTGCTGTTTCCTCTTCTTGGAAGCCCCTTCCCAAATTCTTAGATAGCAAATGCTTTTCCGTGATTAGAGTCCCACATCTTTAAAGATGCATCCCATGACATGACCTTACTACCTAAAGAGTCCTGTCGAGTCCCACTTCCCATATTTATCATATTCCCAATACTTTCCCTCATCTCAAATTATCTATTGCTTATCTAGTATTACTCAATCTCTTCCCTCCTTCTCACCCCTTGCCAATGAAACACCACAACCACAGGAGCCAACCCATTCTTACTTAACTATCTGCTATGCCCAGAAAAGCTCTTGGACACACAGTTCACAATCAATGATTTACTTGTTGAAATAAAGACTGGGTAAAATCATGGGATAGCCATGAACTGAGCATGTGAGCTGTGGGTGTACCTCACAGGACTACACACACTGGCAGGGTTTGCTCATCTCCTTAATGTGATTTTCTCCAATGCCGGCTACTCTTTCATGAAGCTCACATTGTGTTTTCTGGCAAGAATGTGCTTCAGCTTCCTAAGCACTGGTGTTGAACACAGCCACAATATGCCATGCAGAAATAAAGCCAAGGTCGCGTCTTCTAGAATTAGATCCCATGGCCCATTTGCTGGGTAACCGACTCTCAGCAATTCTATAACATGCAATCCACACTCCCAGCAGGAGGAGGATGGGGCTATCCGGAGAATCTTAAATCCGCAGACATCCCAGTGAAAATAGGGAAGATTCCTAATGATTCTTATGGTTTTGTGGGTAGAAAGCCTTCCAAATGCACTCCAGAGATGCTCTCCTCCAGAGATACAACAAAGAGAAGGGAGTGCTTGCTGGTAACGGACAGGACTTGGAGGTAAGACAGTGATACTAGGACAAGAGATGAACGTCTAGAACTTATGGAGAAAGTGAAGTTTCCTGAAGGAGCACAGAGCACTGGGACCCAGGGACAGAATATCATGCTGTATTCTGCTGGGGAAAAACCAAGTGTTACCAAGAAAGTCCAGGCATAAAAATAATGAATTTAGGTAGCAAAGGTGGGCATGCTCTTTGGGGATAGACATTTGGTGTGCAGGGTGTAAGGAAGTTTTATGGGGGAAACTGCTCAACACTGAAGAACCTACAGGCTCGAGTGTGCAGTTAAATGGAAGTGTGAAGAACAGGTGCTCCTGATACCACTGTCCAGTCTTAGAACACAGATCATTCCCTGATTGGCAACTAACATTGATGAAGCTCATGAGAATTAAAGGAGGGAGACAGTACAGGCAAGGGGCACCATCTGCATGCCTTCCATAGAAACTCTGCATTGCTGGGGACTTTGGATCCTCTTCACATGACATTCACTTCAGCAGAGACATTTCCTAAGCCTGAGATAGTAGACAGAACCATCTAAGGCACTCTGAAAGACTGGAAACATAACCCAGAGAATAGTGAGAACAGCAGGGAACCCAGTCTACTTCGTGTTTCTAAGTGGCTGGTTTATTCCTGAGAGAGAGAGGGAGAGTCTTTCATACATAGACATCAGACCCAGTTCCTCCAAATATTGTCTAGAACTTGGAACGTGCCATAATTTTTTCTGGAGAAGGTGCTTTAAATTAATGAGGCAGAGCATAGTGGTCTTCTCCCCAGAAGGGGGAAGGAAATGAAGATTGAAGATCTGACAAATAAATGACAACAGAAGTGAAAAGATCCATTTTAATTATAGCAACATGAAGGGGCTGCTGTGAGACTCACGCCCACACAGGGCGGGTGTGGGAGGGTATCAAAAGGCAATAGAGAAGCACACACGCACGATGAACCTTGAGGTGGCAGGAAGCTGTTCCCTTACCCAGAGCATAACTGCTGTGATTTAAACATGGTTTGTCTTCCAAACTGACACCGAAGTTGAATCCCCAAAGTCAAGTGACACAAAGAGGGTAGAGTCTGATGGTGACATTTAGATTTGGCTGTTTCAGAATGTGGCAAGGCTTGGGACAGGTTCTTCACAGTGGAGCACTAATAATCCAATCCTGGTGTTAGAGAAAGTAGTCAGACATTTGACATTCAGATGTATAACTCCTCTTTGTTGTCATATGGTGTTCTGCTCTGCTTCCAGACTCTACCAGCTACAAAGCTATCACCAGCCTGGAGTTTATGCCAGTGCTATGCCCTTGTACCTCCAAAAACTGTGAGCTAATAAGCCTCTTTTCTTTATAAAACTAGTTTGTTTGTCCTAAGAGGACTATTTATAACAGTAAGTGCCTGTATCAAAAACATTTGAGAAGTTTTGAATAAATAACTTAATGATGAGCCTTGGACAAACAAGAACAAACCAAATGCCCAAATAGTAGATGGAAAGAGATAATCAAAATCAGGGTTAAAATTAATGGAGTAGAAAAATACTAAAGATAACCAAAAGAAAAATGAGATGGTTCTTGGAAAAGTTCAATAAGAGTGGCAAGCCCTTAGCCAAATTTACTAAAATAAATACAGAAAAGACACAAGTCAGTGAAATTAGAGATGAATTGGGAGACATCAGACGAGATACTAATGAAATTCATAAGTATCATATTTTATAAGAAAATCATAAGAACATATTTTAAAGCCCCCACTCCACTAAACTGAAAAAAATCAAAAGGTAATGGAAAAATTCTAGATGCAGACAACACACCAAAATTAAATCAATATGAAATAAAAAAGTTAAACAGGTCCATGACAAGCAACAAGATTGAAACAGTAATTAAAAGCCTCGCTTTTAAAGTAAGGCCAGCACTAGATGAGCTCATTGTAGAATCCGACAAAACCTTCAAAGAGAAACAACTCAGCTGTCTATGTCAGTCTGGCTCCCAGTCTCTGGAAACATACTAGAAGAGGAGACAGAAAGAATGGAAGAGCAAGAAGACTGGCAGTGGGATGGGGTGGAGGGGTGACTGTTGTCCTTTGGGCATGACATGGCTGTCGTACAAGTGAATTCATAACATCTGTGGTTCCCTACATATGACCTGCAGAAACTCTAGCCAGTTAAGAGTTCTAGCAAGAATAGAGTGAGGGCTCCCTAGAGACCCCCCTCCATACTGAGGATCTATAGGCAGTTTATGGCTGCAGTGTATTATGGGAGTGGACAAGTGTTTTCTCTAGGTGTTGTGACCACTGGTAGTTCCCCATGCCCCAAGGATGAACTCAACAAACACACATATATGGAAAACACTAATTAGACTCTTTGGGTTTTAAATAATTAATAAGCTAGAGAGGAGGAGAGACGGGGGAAGGAAAGCATATAAAGCTGAGGGAGATGTAATATGGAATTCTGGGGGTACTAGAAGGGGATTAATACATAGATATGATCAGGACACACTATATTACATGCATGAGATTTTCCAAGAATAAATTAAGGTTTAAAAATGGCAGCCTACCATGCATATTTCATCCTATTAAAATATATTTGATTCAATGTCTCGCGGTCACATGAGAGAATTAAGAAACCCCCAGGAATCATCTGGAACTAAATGGATGCCAAGAAACTGATAGGAATCTAAGACAGCACTTCCAGATTGAGGACCTGGCATCTCAGTCAACTCTAGGGGCTTCCATGATCCCTAGGCATCTGCAGACTATAGTCTTCTAGTCATATACCTATAAGGTATAATATCAGCACAACTGCCTGCACCCAGGACTTGGCTGTGCAGGAGCTGTGTGACTTCTTGCTGAGACACATTCAAATGCCGTTGACTAAATACTGCAAAGAGGGGAACTTCAAGGAGGAGTGGCATGCCACTGAGGACTCTTGATATTGTACCATGAGTACTAACCATGGTAATCTCACCCTACACCTACACAGGGCTGAGAAGTGTGTTTAAAATTATTTGTAAAGAATTAATAGCTCTGGGGTCCTTTTCCTTGTGGGTGAAGAGTATGCTAATTTGCTTCATGCTTAATGTTGTTCTTTTTTTGTCTTGTTTTATTTCCATAAAAGACAATTGTATAAGATTCTATCCAAAGGCCTCTAATTCTTCCACTTCAGTGGTCTGAATCCCACTAATAAACAATCAGGATTTTGACTCCCTTAATAATGGAGAGAGATTCAGACGAATTGTTTTGCCAGTCTCTGCAAATTCCTGAAGGTGCTGCCTGTTGAACAGGCCAGCAAAATTATGGATTTATTCAGGACTGATTGCATTGGGTCTGTAAGCAGTTTTGAAGGATTAAAAGATAGCAAGTGAGACAACTGTGAGCTGAATGAACAGGGGCACAGCATCCTTGTGACTACCCAGTCTGGCATGGAGAAAGCATGTTAGGAGAAATGGATAGACTTACTGCATGGATGAGCAAGGACCCGGACCTCGTCCACAGCGATGTAACCAGGATGACCCTTCAAAGAGACGGATTCAAATATCACCTGCAACACACAGGGCTGATGTCAGTTTCACACTTGTCTGCATTCACCTGAAGAAGCCATACAGCCCCCAGTCCCTTTCTTTGTCAGCTTCCCACCAGAACCAGACAACAATACCTCCCATTAGGAGAGTGAACCATGCTGCCAGTTGACTTGGGTTTTCAAACACTCTAGTGACCAGCAATAGAAGCCATCCAGGTGGGACATTTTTAATCTATTTCAGAAATAACACTTAGCTACAACAACAGACAATTTGAACAAGACCCTGAGTCCCCATCAGTACCTCCCTGATTGTGGTTCCAAATGAATTTCAGAAGGAACTACTTACACATAGTCCAATTTCCTTATTGTCTTGGAAACCAGTATAAGCCAAGGAGAGTTGGTCCTGATGTTACTTGATAGTCTACTTGGACTTCCTGAGCGTGTGTGTGTGTGTGTGTGTGTGTGTGTGTGTGTGTGTGTGTGTGTATGTATGTGTAAATGTGTATATTTGTATATTTGTATATGTGTTTGGTGGCCAGAGGTCAACCTCTATTGTCTTCCTCAGGTGCCAGCCACCTTTTTTTTTTTTTTTTTTTTTTTTGAGACGGGGTCTCTCACTTGGCTTGCAATTCTCCTGTTGCCTCTCCATACCTTCCCAGCACTGGAACTACAAGAATGTGCTCCTAAACACCTGCCTCCTTTTTACAGGGGTGCTTGGAATCAAACTCAAGTCCTTGTGTTTGCACAGCAAGCTCTCTGCAGGTGGAGCCATTTCCTAATGCTTCCTGGATGTCTTCATAACTCATCTTAGAAACTAGCAACACTCCACTTGATTGTATCCATGAGTGGAAGGACACAGAACTTTTCTCTTCTCTACTCTGACTCCTACCAAAACTTTTTACTTCCACAGAAATTGATAATTAAGTTTTCCTGGCTTTCTCTTTCTCTTCACTGAGGAGGAATTAGTATCTGTGTTAGTGCCATGGCCAGAAACTCTTACAGTACTAATTCACACTCCCCCAACTACATCAGCTACATTCTTGAATTTGAACATAACACTTTGCAATCCTCTGTCAGACTCTTACCTTACCATCCTCTCTAAACTCACTATTCTTTCATCTGTTCCTTAGACTCACACAGTACCTGGATCTGTATTTCCCTAGGGTCTACACATTCACCTAGACCCTCCTATATTCTCACCAAGCCGAGGCTCCTTCTACCATGGTGGCAAATCCCCAATGTGATTCTTCACAAGTCTTTTTGAACCCTGTCGAGCAAATTGTGGACCTTCCTTCTATATCCACAAACCCTACCAAGCATTCTCTTTTTATCATCCACTTGCCCAATCCTAAAAAGCACTAGAGCTTGGGGGGCTGACTTCTCACTTCTTACCCACAAACCTAGCCTTCCTCCACAGTAACCATAATCTCTGCAAGTAAGTCCATACCCTTGAACCTGGCTGATTCCTGCCAAAGTTTCCAGAATCATGGCTCTTCTTGGCTTTCTTTTGGTATTCTGTATTTCCAGTCTCTAGCCTCTTTTACTCTGACCTTAACACATATAAATGATTTTAGCTTTTCCTTGTCTTGAAAAACCACCTCTTTGTAGAAAGTTCTTCTCCGTAGCCAGTTGTGTTTCAATGACAATTCTTAGTAGTTTAATAAAGCCATTCCTATCTCTTGCTTACTTCCACCACAAAATGTTAAGTATAAAAATCCCAATCAGTCACAAATATTCCTCTCAAGATTGTTTTTTTTGACAGGCATTAATATTTTAAATACTAAATCTGATGAAACTTCCCTGAATCTCTCTTATTTTCAGAAAGAAGATGGTGGGGCTGTTAAAAGCATGGCCTGCTCTTCTGGATATACTGAGTTCAATTCCTAGCAACCATATTGTGGGTAAGAACCTTCTATAACTGTAGTCCCATGGGACCTGATGCCTTCTTATGGTACATGTACATCCATATACATAAAATAAGTGAATAAAAATTATATAACTAAAGAAGAGCTCCCTGTTTTGAGCCATCGTGTCTACACTTATAATTGCAATATCTACCTTGTTAGGTAAGTTTTCAGGTGGGGAGCATTAATATCCTATTGAGAATGTTGGACACACACCACTCTCAATGAATGTCTACTATAGTTATTATTGCTTCTTGACCATGTTTGTGCATTTGTCAGTATTCACAGCCTGTCCCTTTCCCAGTCTCTACTTGGGCTTAGAGGATTCTTCACATTTGATTATTCTCATATATACGAGACCATCCTGTCATAAATTTATAGGCACTCCTTCTTTTCCATCCCTCTGGAGATGGTAGTTTCTCTATTCATCATCTGATTGACCATGCACACTCACCGGTCAGCCATTGCCAACTCACTGGGATGCCAAGCCCTGTTCTGTGTCCTATATATATATCATCAGAGCATCAATTAGCATCATTTAACCAGCTCACAGCTCTGAATTCCTACATAGCATGAAGTTTCCTCACATGTAATCTGCATGTAACAGTTCTGAGCATATTTCCTCTCAGCATTCTACCTTACCATCCAATGGGCCATCCCTTCTGAAGTACAGTGCTATACCCTTCCCACTCATCATAGCTGGAGATCTGGGCACCTATATGGGTTTCTACTTCAACCTCTTCCCTTATCTTCAGGTTCATTTTGATTCTACTTTAGTAGAATTTCTCAGATATGCCCCTGTTTTTCCATCTCTTTTATTATACAGATCATAGGAAGCAGCCATTTATGAGTCAAAGCCAGTCAGGTGTCAGAGCCAATGTTTAATTCAGCCTGTAATTGTTTTTCATATCTACTACAATGATGACCTCCAAAATTTACCCCCTGTCCTGTCCCTTACATAGCTCAACCTGGTTTTTAAATGATAAACTAGATGACGAGATCAATAGGATATCTTTCTAGGAAACCATGTTGCCCAGGCCAGTGGATTCAAAGGTTAGTGCTCTCAGTGGGCCTGTAGCTCTCATGATTATGCTAAGAAATCAGGAATAGAAGGTGGCATTGGCTGTGAAGAGGCGATTTGTTTGGTGATAAGATCCATCAGTAAAATCTGAGAGTTCTGTTAAATGATGAGGGGAGTGACAGCCATACAACAACACAGTTGCTTCTGCATAATGACCACTCTCAAAAAGTGTTTTCCTAAAACAGCACAGTCCTTCAGAGAGAATTAACACATGGGATTGTGCATGATCTTGAAAAAGTATGCAGACATATAAGTATGACCTTTCCTTCATCCTGCAGAAGGGGAAATCTTTCTATAAAGAACCAGGTATCTCTGTGTGTGTGTGTGTGTGTGTGTGTGAGAGAGAGAGAGAGAGGGGGGGAGGGAGGGAGGGAGAGAGATATGAAGTAATTCAATGGAAAAACCAAAGTAAAGTCCATAAAAAATTCAAAAGAAAATATAAAGCAAATACATTTTAAAAGAAATAGCAGAAAAGCATTCACACTGTGAAATAAAAAATGACAAATACAAGAAAAATGTTTCTGTTTTGACAATAACTATAAATGGGTTAAAATAGAGGAAAACACCCAGATTGTCTAAATAATCAAAGTCTAATTGTATGCTGTAAGATAAACACCTAAGGCAGAATGACTCAGTAACCTTACAAATAACAAGATGAACAAAGACACAATAAGGAAAATGCAAGTGAACAGAAAACAGTTGTTACAAAAATATAATGGGATTGTTCCAAAGTAGTTTTTAACCAAACTGAAAAGTATAAACCACTAAAAAGACAAAATTGACCACTGAAACTTGTATCTAGAGTCCCTCAAGGTAAGAAACTTGAAAGGAAAATAATGATGGGGGAAAAGAAGACAGTATCTGAAGACTTTGACCTATTTTTGGGTCAATCAAATAGATCAATCAAACAGAAGAGTCAATACAACAAATATATTTTTTCTAAATGTGTTAATGAATATATTGAGAAAGCAAAATTTCTGTTCAAATGCTCATGGAATTGTAAGGAGATCATAAGCTAGATTATAAAATAACATCAATAAGTCTCCCAATGAATAAAATTTGTATAAATTTAGTTTTATACATTTTGTAACCAAATTTCCTAAAACTAGAAAATAATAACAATCTTAAAAATCAAAAGTTATACAATGCATATTAATAACTATGATGTGATAGTATGTTTCTTATGTTACCCAGAGTCTGAAAAAAATCGAAAGTCAAATGACAACCTGAGAACAAGACATGCAACATATATGCCAGTTTAAGAAAGCACATGCTTTTTATTTGGGGAATTCAAAAGAATTACTGACAGGCAAGAAAAGAAATGAATAATATTCCTTTCAATAAAAATCTGGCAAGCTATTTCAATAGGAAAATTACCAAAAATTAATCTCTGAGTGCAAACTTCTTAAATGTCACAGGAGATGTTCACAGGTGATTCAAAAGATACCTGTTGCCTTGGGTGGCAATGACTGCTCCACTGCTTAGCATGGGATAGAAGGTGGTGATCACTGTCTAGGTCTTAGTCAGAGACATTTTCTAAGGACAGACACCACAAAGGAGGATACTAATATCTTCTAGAAAGAAAGGCCCACCCAGGAGCTGTGAACAGAGAGATAATGGCCATCTTTGGTCATGAAAATGAGAGAAGTGATGGAGGTAGACATTATGTAGATGTCTCTAAGGAGCAGGAAGGGAGGTAGTGGAGTGAGGTAGAATACTGAAGTAGGCCACATGCCCAGCAGTGTCGGGGACACCGTAACCACGCCTGCTCGGGGCTGGCTACAGGTGTGCCTGACCACGCCTGTGGGTACGTGATCATGGTGATGTAGGGAAAGTTTAAGAGTGAGGGGTGTGCATACCTGTAGCCAGCCCTGAGCAGGTGTGGTTACAGTGTCCCCTACACATGAAGGCAAAGGTCATTCATAGAAGCAGGGACCCTGAATGCAAAGACCACAGTGGAAGGCCTGATTCCAGTATTTGAAGCTCTGAGAAGGACATCCCTCAGCCTCAAGGCTGCTGCATGGAACCTACTAACA